GCTGCTACAGTCACAGCTGCTGTTACACAGAGAGCCACCATCCATCCAGAGGGTCCAGGGAAAAAGTCTCCTGGAAAACAGCACAGGAATGTGATCCCACAGGAACTGACACACAGATCGCTAGACGCCTGGATTCCCCAGAATGAATCCAGGGACAAAGATAAAGGAAGGCAAAACCCACAAATGCAGAATTGCAAGCACATGAGTTACTGGGTGGAATATTAAAAGACCAGTTTTCACATGCAAGGTCTGCTCTTGGCCTTTTTCTCAGATTTAAGCCACTTGATGTCTCTAGACAACAACATTTCAAAATAAACCACTAAATCTCAAATCACAGTTCATCCAGAATCTCCAGATCATTCTCACCTTACAGCAGGAATGGGAGAACAGCCCTTTCACTTACAACACTTTCCCTTCTCCAACAAAAACAACTGTCTGCCAATCGGTGAAATACAGTCATTGGACAATTGAACATAACGTTGCCTAATTTAAACTAGATTTAAGATTTATCCATGTTCCTAACATTTCACATGTTTTTAATTGTCTCAGACCCATCCACATAACCACTCTTTTAAATAACTGAGCTCAATTAATTTTGTATCAATAGAATGTAATTCATGTTTTGGCTTCCTGCATGCAACACTCTTTACTTGTCTATATTAAATGACTTACACCGGGTGTTCACCTGGTCTTGCGTTCTAAGTCTGAATTTCGTTGCAGTTTACACGGTGTTTAATAACCCTTCTTTTGAAATCATTGGCAAACTTCACTAGTTCACCAGATTCACCAAAATAAATGAGGAAGAGCAGCTATCCGAATACAGATCCTTTAGGTCCACTGACCACATCACCTCTCCTCTGTTCTCTATCCATTAAACATTATATATAAATATAGTATATTGTATGCACTATGACCTTTACTCTTCAAAGAACTATAAAAATACTGAATTAAGACTGATTGACATATAGACGGTCCTCTATCTCAATTCTAATTGTTTCCTTAACCTTATACACTTGTGACAAATATCTTTAATACTCACTGGGTATGTGGAGCTGAGATCCCCAGTCTGGTTTAGGCAGAGCACTTCTGACCAGACAGGAGAAGATGTTGGACTCCTGCTGGACCGGGATGTAGCTGCTGACACTGAGGAGCCCCTGACTGTCCTTCTCCACTGTGCTGCTGGACAGTGAGGTCACATCATGTCCATCCCTGTCTGTCCAGATCACTGCAGGTGCAGGGAACCAGCCCTCTGACCTGCACAGCAGCTGGGTCTGACCTCCTCCAGGGGAGTGGAGAGACACTGAGGGCTGGGAGCCCAGGGCTGTGGATTCGTCACAACACAGATGTTTAAGCTATTAAAAGTATGACACAACGCAAGCCTCTTTCTGACCCTTTAAAGCAAGTCCCTTGAGTTTGGCTTTCAGCAATTGTGAGATGAAAAATGTAACCAGCTGGGAAAAAGGCTATAAATGTTCTTTGGAATTGTATTTCAAGCTTACACTTAAATGATTTAGGTTTTGTTTATTGTAAAATTGTGTGTAACTGGAGTGTCCATTCTGCATTTTTGTGGAGGGTGAGGTGTTGATTTTTGTGAAACAACAGTACAGCTCTGTTGTCGGATGTGGTGCCACAGTGGTTAGTACTGCTACCGCACAGTGCTGGGGTCAGATCCTGGAGTGCTATCTGTGTGGAGTTTGTGTGGTCTCCCAATGTTTACGTGGGTTTCTTCTGTTTGCTAAAGTTAATTAGCTTCTAGGTTAAATGGCTTGTGGGAAAACCAGCCCTGGTGTGAGTGTCCGTGTGTGTCCTTTGGTGGACTGGTGTCCTGTCAAGGTTGTACCCTGCCTTGCGTTTGTTGCTTAACTGTATGGGCTCCAGCTCCCCTGCAATACTGAATTGGATAAAGCTGCTAGAAAATGGATGGTTGTGTATTGCACATATTTGCATTGAAAGCCCAATGCAAAGGTAAAAAGGCAAGCGTTTAGTGGATGTTGTGCATTGTGGGATCAGCATCTCATTCTAGATGTCATAAACATCAGGCAGAAAACTGGAAGACTGGAAATACAGAACACTGATGTTGGGATTGATGATCTTCAAAAGCCCTATAATATCCACTCACCTGTAACACGCACATTAATAACAGCTTCTTCATAATACGGTGAAGACACTACCATACACTTATAGGGTCCATCATCAGAAGGAATCACAGCTCTCAGGTTTAAGGACACGTTGCCTTCAGTGATCTTCTGCAGGAAAAGGTCCGCCCTCCCATTGTAGGACGAGTCTGTGCTCCGAGGGACATACATGTGGTTTTGGTACAAACACACATGATCATTGTAATCCTCTCGAAACCACCTGATCTCCAGGTTCACAGCGCTGATGCTGGGTGAGAGGGAACAGGGCAGGACAGTGTCTTCACCAGGGGACACCACAACAGGACCAGCAGGACCAACAACCAGGAACCTCTCTGAAAGAGAAACATCACAACTGGCTTGAGCTTCACAGGCCAAATTCTTGATACAATATAGAGTTTTGACCGCCTTCGTTGAGTATTTTCTGATTTACTAGTATTTCTGCTCACTTCATTCATTTCATTTCTCCCCTTCTTTCAGAAGGAAGAGGACTGATGGTTAAGGGGTGTCCTCTTGGCTCAGTATTTGCTCTGATCCCCTTCATACTAGGAGTTTCCAACCTACAGTAGGAGGTCTGCGATCTAATGCAGGAGTTATTCTGTCCCTCTCTCACCCAGGCCAGCTCTGACCTCAGGCATTGAAGAGCTCTGACCTTGCAAACTGAGAATCGGATACTCTACAGTCAGAGTGGGGCATTAAGATAAACCTCTTATTTCTCTGCTCTCTAGCTTCTCTAAATGTGCCAATATTATGGATACACTTTCACCGATTAAGGGAGTTTCATCAGTCCTTTTAATATTGCTTTAAAATTTAAATCTAACTCTAAAAAGTGGCACAGTGGTTGGCATACCCTCCATGCAAAGTTTGGGTTCATTTCCAGACCAGGAGGACTATCTGTGTGGAGTTTGTAAGTTCTCCCTGCGTTAACATGGGTTTCCTGCCACTGTCAAAGGAGATGCTGGTAGGTTAATTGGGTTATCCATTGTCTTACTGCTTTATCCAGTAAGGGGTCAAAGCAGAGCAGGAGGCTGTATCAGTAAGCAACAGGCACAAGGCAGGATACACCCTGGATGGGACGTCAGGCGGTCCGTCAGCCCCGCAATGGTCTAACACCAGGACCAATTAACCCAGAAGTCAAGCTATCTACCTGCCAGAGGACTCCCACAAAAACACAGGGAGAACATACAAACTTAATGCAGATAGCAAGCCAGGAACTGAACCCAGAGCCCCATTGGGAGGCAGCAATGCTCACCAATGTGTACCAAGGCAGCCCCGCATTCAGCAACTTTAGGTATTAAAATGTTTCTTGATGCAGGGGGGTTTGGGAGTCAGGAACAAGCTACCCAGCCACATTTGTCAAGTTGATACCCTATCAAGAACCAGCAAATTGACCTGAAGCTCTCATTGAGTCACTAGCTATCAAATACACTGACAAGCATCATGAATGATGCTAAAAAGACAGGTCTGGCTGTAATAAAATGTTTGTGTTTCCAAAATCTTTATTTTTAATTTTACCTGATTCCAAGGCTGAAGAGCCGAGGGACAGCAGCATCAGAAAGAGATGTTCTGATTGGTCACGCTTCATATCTGAATGACAAAGACACTCTGATTGGTTCAGTGGAACATCCTGCTTGGTCAGGTTGTGTTACTGATAGTGGTTTAATTGGTCAGAAGTTGGCAAAACCTGCAAAGAGCTGAATTACAATATGTTGAAATTACAAAACATTGAATAAAAATAGAGGTACTCATAAAGACATAGAATCACTCGAGGTCTTTGAAATAAAAATGGTATTGTATTACACTTTATTTCCTAAGTTAGATGACTAAACTAACAAATAGTAGAGACAGGAAGCCTAGAAACAAAAGAAACTTTGCAAAAGCTGAGTAAGTTTAATGGATATGATTGTAATGTACAGGGGTGCGAGTTATAATAAGAAAACCGATAGAACACGATTGGATGATAATCATGCAACAGGTTTGCAAAAGGAAATTCCGTTTTGGAAGATCAACCTCTTTTTCAAAATGAGACTAGTGATTGGGTGAACTGTAACCTGCCGTTTCCTGGCAAATTATCAGATGAAAAACGGTTTGCTTTTAGAGGATATTACATAATCAGAAATATTTTCACTGCCAGGAATTCTAGCATTAGCCAATACAGAGTCCTAAAATGACTTTTCCTTAAACAGAGTGACCTCGCCATTCAGAATTAATAGTTTTATAGCGGCTCCTGTATTGTAACACGGGCAGCACTCTCGCGTGTTCCAGCTTGCGGCGAACCCGACACCTGCGCACTGATCGTCTTCGACCGCGAGTTCTTGTTTCT